GAGCATGTTCTTTGCAGAGAAGCAGCATCAAGGCTTGCCTGGGGAGGCCTGATCTTGGGGTCTGGAGTTGTCCCTCAGATTGCTTGCTGAACTGGTGTTTTACCATTTGAACCATGCCTCCAGTCTGACTTTTTGCTGGCTAATTTTAGATATAGAGTCTCAGAGACTTTTCCCAGACTGGCTTCAAACCTCAATCCACCAAGTCTCAGTTTCCTAAGTACCTAAAATTACAAGTGTTAGCCACAGGAACCTGGCTGTTTTGCTTTAGTTTTTTAGCACAGCTTCCTTGGAGGCACCTGAAGACAAAGGAAGGAGCTTAGTTGATGCTAGAATGTCAGAGTTTTATAAAGTCTTACTCCTCTTGATCTGTATGCACTGGTCAGTCTCAGTCATTTGTAAAGGGGATGGTGAATGGGGGTGGTGAGATACTACTTAAAAAGAGCACCCCTTTCCTTCTCTTAGCCTGACTGAGTCCAAGATTAGAAAAGACCACCTGGGCCCTGCAGCCAGCAGAGCATGAGAACTGCCTTAGCAATGGTTCAGAGGAGCTGGGAGGCAGCTGGAGCACAGGCAAGCAGCAGGAAGGATCTGGACTAGCCAACAGACATTTTAGCCTTGGCTTCCCGAGACCCATACAAGGTGGTTCATCTTCCGGGCCTCAGAGTCCTCTGAGTCCACCCTGGGAAGGGCCGGGGAGGCTGGGGGGGGGGAGTGTCAGTGGTTTCAGGGGATTGCTGTGAGGCCAGTTAAGATTATGAGCATGAGAATTCAGCTCCTAAAAGGATCATTCATGATACACACCTGGGGGTGGGTGGGGAAGAAGGGAGGCAGTGTTCAAACAAGAGTTGTACTTGATTTGTGTTTCTTTAGGGAAATGCAGATTTCCATATTTGTCTCCTTGTCCAAAGAGCAAAGGGGGTTCTCCTGGCATGGCTTCTCTCTTGGCTTTCCCCCTGTGACAGCCAGAAGCTTGGGGTGAGCACTTTAGGAGAGGCTGCCCTGGGAGAACAAGAGAGACAAAGGCAAGCAACAGGGAGCCCTATGGGAGCCCAGCCTGGGATTAAATACATTACTTAAACTAAAGCAGTGCGCATCCTCCAAGGGAGTCTGGAGGGTTCTGAAGTGGGATTTACAATGGTGAATGCTAGGCAGGCTAGGCAGGGAGAAACCCAGGAATCTCCCACCATAATCTCAAGAACAGTATAGAGGAGGCTCTGGTGATACATGACTTAGTTGCTGGGTACTACCTGCAGGTGCCAAACATTTGATTTGGAGTATTTCCCAATGAAAACCAGGATCTGAGGCTGTGTACGTGGTAGAAAGGAAAGAATGTAGCTGGGACTAGTTCTGGGCAGGCTGCTTCTGGAGTTGGTGGTGCTGTATGGCCTGAAGGTAGTGAGCTCAGGAGATAGCAGGACAGCTTGGTGGGGAGGGACTGCCAGCCCTGTGGTGTCTGAGGTCCTGTTTCAGGCTTGCTCTGACTCCTGAACAGCACATGAATTCCTGTTCCTTTATGACTCCCTTGACAGCGCCCATAAACTTCCTCCTTTCCACATTTCCACCACACCACCCTGTTACCATGGTTACATACATAGCTCTGCCCAGCAACCAGCTTCAGCCTACTTTTCAGGGCAGCCCTGCCCTAAAACCATAGTAACAGCTGGGCAGAACTCAGCATTTGGCTGTCCTCTGGGAATCACACTTTCCTCTTGGCTCTGGGGTCTGTTTGCAAAAAACCTCAGGACCCCCAAGAACGTGCCTTCCCTCCAGTCTGCTTGTTAGGCAGTTGGGTCACTGCTTTACTGTAGTCTGCTCTTCTGCTCAGATTCTTGTGACCTAATTAACACCCAGTTCTGAAAGTCTACCCCTCCCTTCTATCAGACACACCCAGAAGGCTGTTCTCTTAGAGGTCAAGGTCAGGGTGGACAGAGAAGAGTTTCCATTGCAGCCCCAAATCCTCTCTGGGTGTTGCTTAGTGCACAAGGATAGATTAGTGAAGTTCTGTGCAAGAGGCTATGCTAGGGGCTTGGAGTCTAGAGATGACTTGTACTACAAGAAGTGATGAGCCTGGAGGCCAGGACATGTGTGTGAGGATGGGAGGACCCAGCTTTCCCTGCAAGATGAACCAGATGCAGGAAGCAGAAAGGCTGAGTTGGGTTGAGAAACTAGATGTCCATGTGGACAGACAGAACATGACCAAATTAGGGATGAGGAGCATGTAGCTCAGGGGAATCCAGCTAGGAGAGCAATTTAAACTTTATCTGAGCTGGGCACCAGTTGCTCATGCTTGTAATCCTAGCTACTCAGGGAGCTGAAATCTGAGCATCATGGTTCAAAGCTAGCCCAGTCAGAAAAGTCCCTGTGAGACTCTTATTCCCAGTCAACGACTCAAAAACCCAGAAGTTGAGCTGTGGCACAGTAGGTAAAGTGCTAGCCTTGAGCACAAAGAGGCTCAGGGACAGTACCCAGGTCCTGAGTTCAAGCCCCACAACCATCACCAACGACAAAAAAAAGCCCCTTTGTCTGGAGAGGAGAATATTACTGATCTGCAGGGTAGATCCCCAGGCTGTGAGTGTGACTAGCAAGGTCTCCCCTAATCCTGTCTCCTTTACTCTCGGCTAGAAAAGCCACCCCTGCAGACTGCCCTTTCCCCTTTCCATCCTGACCTCTGTCCTCTACCAAAATTCCAGGCCAAGTTTTATTTTTACCCTTATCGCCCCTCTCTTGGGTCTCCTAAGGGGCTTTCTCTGTTTTTGTCCATCTCCTTACTATCCTACCCCTCCCTGCTGCTGCCTGGTAGAGGCCATCTCCCAGACCTTCCTCCTGGGTGCCCAGAAGTAGAGGAGCCGGGAGAGCAGGGAGGAGTCTTGCTGGAATGGAGCACAGATTGCAGAATGCGTTCTTGCTTGGCTTCCTCTAGCATTTCTTTCACTGTTGGTGCCTGTGTAGGTGGGTTTCACAGGGGTGGGGGCAGGGGTGTTCTGGGCACTTTTCTTCCTCACCCAATCTCCTGTAAACCTTTGGAGTCTGACAAGCTCCTATCTACCAGACTTGCACCAGTGCTCAGCCTTTTGGTGCATTTCCCTGAAATCCCCAGTTCCCTCTTGTAGATAGCCTCTCCTGGGCCCATCCATCTCCCGCCCATGGAGGAATGGGCAACACTTACAGATTATGGATAGAGGGGTAGCACCAGTCTGTATCCCTATTTGAAATACCCCTATTGGTGATCACCTCCATGTTGTTTTCTAGAGGATTCAGTGGACATATTAATGCCCTTCACTCTGAGCCTACAGTATAGAATTTATGTCTCTTCACCACTTGGAGTCTCAGACCCTGGCCTAGAGAGGAAGCACAGCCCTGTGCAGAGGGAAGCAGTGAGCACACTGGTGGGTGGGAAGGGCCCTTGGATCTGTGGGGAGGCTGTCATTTCAGAGTCAGCAGCTTCTTCTCTCTGTTGGTCTAGTCCTTAGTCTTAAGAGCCTGTAAGATGCAGAGGAGGTGAAGGAAAGGACAGGATGCTGGAGAGAGGGAAAGGGCCCAAGGGAGGAGGATGCTGAGAACAGCTAGCAGAAGTATCTAGCCGGAGCTCAGCTGTGCCTAAGCCAGGCCCAGCTCTCAGAGTACATGTGTGAGATATAGGGATGGGAGTCACTTCAGGCCCCACAGCATCCTCATCCTGGTCCCTGCTCTGTTGTTGCTCATAAACCCCCATGACCAGTGCATTTTTGGCTTCTCCCTCTCCACTGTGTCTCTCTCTCCCCCTCCCCCTCCCTCCCTCCCTCCCTCCCTCTCTCTCTTTCTCTGGCTCTCTCTCTCTCTCAGTCATGGATCTTAATCTCTGAGCCTGGGCTCTGCTCTGCCCTGAGCTCTTCAGCTCAAGGTGAGCGCTATACCACTTTAGCTACAGTGCTGCTTCCAGTTTTCTGGTGGTTAGTTTGAGATAAGAGTCTCGTGGATGTTCCTGCCCAGGCTGGCTTTGAACCGAGATCCTCAGATCTCAGCTTCCTGAGTAGCTAGGATTACAGACATGAGCCACCGGCGCCTGGCCTTCCACTGTATCTTCTGTTCCTGCAGTGTGGAGGTAATAAAGAGATAAAACCACAGGCCACTGATGATACAAGGTGCTTTCCTTCTTACTAGGGGATTGAAGGCCTGGTGATAAGGAGTTCCCTCTGAACTGCACAGAATTGTCAACTGTAGCACAGGTTCCTTCCCTGAGCAGCCATCTGGCAACTCTTGAGGTCCCCAGTGGTAGGCTTGGAGAACGGTGCCCTTAAGTATGAGGCAGCTCTCTCTGGGGAGCAAGAGAAAGGAGAGTTTTGTGGTTGGCTGGAAGGAGCCAACGATAGAGTCTGGGGTAGACAAGGGTGACGAGAAGGGTCAAGTGTGGGACAGAGAAAAGAGTGACTGAAAGGCCACAGCTGAGTTACTTCCTGGGCATCAAACAACAGGGCCTTGTCCCAGGCCATTTTTCCTGGCATCTGAGGAACTTGCTATGATTTTAGAAAATTGAAAGCACAGAGGACAGTTCTAGAAAACAGTTGTCCCATACTCTGCCAGTGTCGTGACAGAAGGCAGTGTCAGATGAAAGGAGACTGAAGGAAGTGGTGCCTGAATGCAAGGCAGGATCCCAGACCAGATCCTGGAATGACAAAGAAAATACGAACAAGGACAGTAATGATTGTTATCCTAGAGAAGGGCAGCAAGGATGCTAGATATCAGTAGTTGATGTATACAGGTGAAGGGTATATGGCTGAAACACTTTTCTTGAAACTGTATTGTAGCTTTGAAATTTTACGGGATCCCTGAACCTCAGGATGCTCCCTTACCACATGGGATTTCCTGGAGTGGTAGGGTTTCTCAGAGGCAGCTTCTGTGGGGACAGGACTGTGGCCACTTGGTTGGCCTAGGACAGTAGTGAAAAGGTGGTGGGACCTTCTGGGTACAAGCACCCACTTACCTTCTTTTCTTACTCTCTTCCAAACCAATTCCACCCACAGGCAACTCGGGACGTGGTACTGAGCCGGGCGCCTGAGCAAGAAGAGGACCGGAGGGTGAGCCTGCAGAATGCTGCAGCCATCTACGACCTCCTGAGCATTACACTGGGCAGGAGGGGCCAGTACATCATGCTGTCGGAGGTATGGCAGGCCAGGCATCTCCCCACTCAGAGAGTCAGGTAGTGCCTAACAGGAATCTGATGGCGCTGTTGTGATTTGTGCCTTCCTCTGGTCCCACTTAACTGCCAGGTTGCCTTGCCTTTTTCTGACCTGAGCCCTCAGCAAATCACATCCTTGGCTTCCTCGTCTTTGAAATGGAGCAGAGAACCCATCTCATCAGGACAAATAAATGAGTTCATACACAGAACAAGCTGAGAACAATGCTGTTATTTTTTTTTTATCAGAAGTATACATTTTGAAAGCACTTAAATCTTACCATTTACACTTTACCATTGCCCTGTGAAATCATTCACATGTTAAGTTAGACACTTGTACACATGTCTGAGCCAGCAGCAGGACCTCTTTCTCCTGGATATCCAATAGGAATCAAGTGCAGATCTGTGGCAGCTTTTTAGGGGCAGTGAATTTTGATGCCGTTTACCCTGGAGGGGGATGGAACAGCTGAAATGACCGGACTTCTCATGGGGACATACTAAACATCTTCCTCTCCCCAGTGCCTAGAGCGAGCCATGAAGTTTGCATTTGGAGAATTTCACCTTTGGTACCAAGTGGCCCTCTCCATGGTGGCTTGTGGGAAGGTAAGGCCCAGGGCTGCTGGTGTGTGTGTGTTTGTGTGTGTGTGTGTGTGTGTGTGTGTGTGTATGCACGCACACGAGCACACATGCGCGTGTACGTGTACTTACCCTCTGAGGGCTGTGCAGAAGTTGGTGGGTTGGTGGATGTGGCAGCATGAGACAGGACTGGGATGTGGTCCACGTGAAGAAGGGGTCACTGTTCCTGCCCTCTGAATGAGGCACCAGGAGTTGACCTGCTTGTGAATTGGAAAATCGCCTAGAAACAAGAGATATGCAAGAGTAGAATGGAGCAGCAGCCGTTTGCAGGGGGCAGAGTAGATATGGCCAGGGGTCTCAGATCAAGGGGCACAGGGAGGACATTTTCCTCTGTCCTGGCTCCTGTGCTAGCATCCCCGATTTTCTCTCAGAGCAGAATTCCACTATGTCAATCTCTATTTTAAGCAGCAACATGAAAGGAAAACCTTTCCAGTGCTGGGGGCTGTGGGGGCTGGGGCTCTGGGTGCTACAAATGCAAGAAATAAGGCAGCATGAGCTTGCAGATGGTTCCAAGAGCTGTAAATATAACCAAAGCCCTTTCATGGGGCTGAGGGAATCCCTCGCCCCCTGGCCCATCTGTGCCATGTTCCATTTCTAGCTGTGCGGGCCATCTTTGAGGAGGGCCTTCACAGCATGCCAACTCCACCTCCACAAATGGAGGGTTGCCAGCCAGCCCTGGGCCTTAGCAGCTAGGCAGGCCAGGGCTTGGTAGGGAGAGGAGGAAGACCAGGTGCTGCAGCCTGTCAGGCAAGCAGACGCTATGGAGCATAGCTGAGTCAGTAGGGAACCTCCTCCGGCCCTCTGCTTGGGCATTGGTCTTTTCAGCCCTAGTAGCCCATCACATGGGCCTCCTCTCAGAGTATCTTGAAGTCCAGCATGCTCTGCTGGCTCTGTGCCCAGCAGCATACTGCCAAGGCTCTGGGAGATTTACCATATAGAAGGGGAAAGGCCTGTCCATAAGGGATGAGCAAAATAGACCCTTAGGATGTGGGCTGGCAGGATGTAGATGGGTGGAGGCTAGTGGGAGGGACCTGAATTCCTGGTAGAAGAAAAGAGATGAGTAAAGATGGAAGGGTTGGAGAAATAAGCCTGGAGTAGGTGGGATGTAGGTAACACGCAGACAGGGAAGAAGAGGAGCCAGAGTTTATGTGGCGCCTGGGCAGATAGCATATAGCAGCATGGAGCGGTTTCTTCCTACTTCCAGGAAACAGGAAGTACCTCTACCCTGTAACAGCCTGGAGCAGGCCAGGATCTACTCTTCTGTGGGTCATGGACCCCTTAGAAAACCTGAGGAAAGCTCAGAGCCCCTCCTCAGGAGAATGCAACCCTTGCAGAAGTTAGCTTTAATTTCTAAGGGATCTCTAGGCCCGGGTTCTGGAAAAGATGTCATGATCACCTTGGAATTAAGGGGTCTTCTCCCCTCTTTACGGAGACGCAGCTGAGACCCGAGAGGTCCAGATACAAGCTGGCTCCCTCCCTGCCTCTGGAAGCTAGTTTCCCAGTCTGGCTCCTTCCTTCACCATCTAGACAGGCTGGCACAGGGAGTTTGGGTGGTCAGTGAATGCCTCATACATGAGGCTTCACAGGTTGGAGAAACTGGGCTATCCCCACCCATGCTCTCTGCAGCCAGAGATTGTTCTGGAAGACATTCTCCATCCCCCTTGGGAATTCTGCATGCTAAATCCATCTGCCTGGGACAGTCAGCCTTCAGAGGAGTGCGCAGAGCTTGCCTTTGCCAAGAGCCTAAAGTGAGGAATCCAGATTCTCCTATACCTTCCAGAAGGTGAGACTGGAGAGATATAAATATACCAGGCATTTCGCCCTCCAGGAATAAGGACGATCTCCCTAGCATGTTTTAAGTTGTTCCTTCTCTTGGTCTCCATGCAGCCAGTTGCATTGGTTGCGTTGCTAGGTAACCGGCATGACAAAAAAGAGCCGACTGCTGACTGCTGAGTCCTTAGATGGCTCCTTAAATAGCAGCATTAAAAAAAAAAAATCCATGTGGGGGTGGGGTGGGAAGGAGTAGATGGAAGATAGAGGGTCAGGGTTTGGAATATCTTGGATTTCAAGGATCCAGAGTTCAAAAGCCCCAGAGAACTAATGAGAAGCCTGCTAGGAGGTGTGGATGGGAAAGACCATGGTGAGTGGCCTTCCCAAGAAAGGAAGTATAGCTTGACAGCCTCCCTTGCCACAGCCCCTCGTGCAGTCTCTTAGTCTTCTAAGGCCTGTTATTTGGTAGCAGCTTCTTAGACTTGGCCTTCTACCCTCCTATTTCTTATGAGAGTAATAGGGGATTTGGCTTCTTTATCCTGAGCCTTTCTGTGATTCCTTAAAGATAAGAACATGGCCTCATCCCACTTCCCGCAGTGAATCTACTACCCAGGGCAGGCCCTTGGTGTGAAGACCCTGAATGGCTTCTTAATTCTGAGTATATTTATCTGTTTTCTGTTACTACAATAAAATGCCCAAGGCTTAGAAATCTGTAAAGAAACAATTATTTAGCTCACAGTTTTGGAGCCTAAGTACACAGTGCCAGCATTAGATTGGCGCATGGCAGATAGCAAATATCCCTGTCCTGGGAATGCCACTCCAAGCCCCTCACCAAGGAACCAAGGTGGATATCATATGTTATTATGACAGGAGTCTTTGCAACTAAGAGAAATCACATGGCCAGACAGGAAGCCTGACAGAGGAGGGGGCCAACCTTGTTTTTTCTGTTTTTGGTTTTTTTTTTGTTTTTTTTTTTTTGTAGTACTGGGATTGAACTTGGAGCCTCACACTTGTTAATCACTTCATCCACTCCTCCAGCTCCTTTTTCCATTAGTTATTTTCAAGGTAGGATCTTGCTTTTAGGCCCAGGGTGGCCTGGCTGTGATAGACATGGGCCATGGTGACCAAGATTGTGCCTCTTTCCCCATACCTAGGATAACATGTATGCACCATCCTGCCCAGCACCTGGTTTCCACTTTTCAGGAACATTGTACCTACCTCATAGAGATGTTGTGAAACTTAAGTGACTTAATATTTACAAAACACTTAGCACAGGGGTCAGCTAGCTCAGCAGGCTTTTTCTGTAGCATTCTGCCATGGCATCATGCATACTGTCACAGACCATAGTATAGGAGGAAGGCTGGCAGACTTTCAATAAAACTTTATTTATGAAATCAAACAGAGAATCAGATTCGTCTTGGGGTTATGTCTCGCTGATGCTTGACTTAAAGCAGGGTACACTGTGAAGAAATATTCGACGCTATTACTATTACTCTTAAGGTCTCTGCTTGGGCCCCAGTGCTCTCTCCTCATAGCTGGCTCTCCCTTCATACTTAGCATCCTTAAAAGATCCAGGCTGAGCCCTTGGAGCCCTAAAGGATCCAGATTTCTGTCTGGAGGTTATCTCTGGCCCTGCCAGCTTGACTTATCCCATTCTTTCCTGCCAACCCCTGTGGATCCCCACAATCCTGACACCAGCTCTGTCTGACTGTCCATTTAAAGAGCTGCTTTCTATCTCTGTAATCTTCATACAAAATTGAATTCCTTTTGGAGAGCTTCCATCGGTTGTCCTGTTAGGTGTTATCAAGTCCAAAGGATAAAGGTCACGGCCTCTATTTTCCAGATGAGAAAACTGAGGCCCAGGGAGGAGCTTGCCTGCCATGAGTACCGGTTTCCTCCTCTTGCTGGGGGCTTCTCTCTAGCTCTGGAGCTGGGGAGGACTGCTTGTCTGGGGACTCTCCCCTGAGGCCATGAGGTACCACCCCAGTCTGAAAACCCAGGGAGATCAGTGACAGCATCTTCTGCTCTTGCTTCTGCAGTCAGCCTATGCCGTGTCGTTGCTGCGGGAATGCATGAAGCTGCGGCCCTCGGACCCCACTGTGCCCCTGATGGCTGCCAAGGTCTGCATTGGGTCCTTGCACTGGGTAAGTGAGCTGTGGGAAGGTCAGAGCCTGGGTTCTGTTCTCCCTTGGGAGAGCACCCCAGGTAAGAATGAGATGAGGACATCCAACTTGAAGTGGAAATGAGGGTATCAGCTATCTGTAGGCAAGCAAAAGACTTCTGAGAACCTACAGCCTTGTAGGTTGTCTGGTTGGTGGTTAGGACAGAGAATATGGTACTTAGAATCAAATGGGGAGACAGTAGAGGTACCTCCCACCTGCCCATTAGTGGGGTTGGTAGGCAAGACCTCAGTTACTAGACCTGCCATCACTTTAGAAGCTTCCAGTGACCTCATGCCTGAGAGGCACGACCCTGAGGGGTTAAAGCCAACCATAGCAGAAGGAAGGCGGCCTCTTTGTAGCCCCCTCTTTGCTCTTGGCTGCAGCCACTGAGACCTGCCCTGGGCTCCTTCATCCCTGCCTTGGATTCTGTTACCCGCTTACTCCTGTCTGCTGAGGCAGGTAAGCTGGTAGGAGACTGCATCTCAGGCAGGCTCTCCCCCTGGATACAGATTCCTGAAGACACTCCCACGCCCCCCCCCCCCCCCCCCCAAGGTCAGCAGCTTGGAAAGTGAAAGCAGAGGGGAAAAACAGCCTGGAAGCCTGAGCCCCAGGCCAGGTGTACTTGGCTGCTGCTGTGGGCCTGTGCGAAACTCTTTTTTTTTTTTTTTCCTTTTTGTTGGTTGTAGAGCTTCAACTCTGGGCCTGGGCACCATCCCTGAACACTTCAGCTCAAGGCAAGTGCTCTGCCACTTGAGCCATAGCATCCCTTCTGGTTTTCATGTGGTTTATTGGAGATAAGAGTCTTACAGACTTTCCTGCCAAGGCTGACTTTGAACCACAATTCTCAGATCTCAGCCTCCTGAGTACTAGGATTACAGGCATGAGCCACCGGTGCCCAGCCTGTGCAGAACTCTTAGCCCCAGGGCTCTGGATTTCCCCTGGGCTGCTCAGATAGCTGCTTTCCCTGGCAGCTCACTTCCTGATAGTCCTGTCTTTCTTAGGTCCACTTAGTCTCCTAATGTCAGGAATGGCTCTATTTCTTTTTCTTACTTCTTTTAAATTAGCGAATGTTTATACTGTATTCCAATCAGTCTCATCCCTGTATTACACCCTCCTTCCCCCCTTCCTAAAACAATTTCCACAGGATTTGTTCCATATCATAAATATAATCTATTTTGATCATATTCATCCTTATTATCCTAATCTTCCTGCCCTCCCCTAATTCCTGTTATCAGGCAGTCTATTTTGATCATATTCATCCTCCTTGTTATTTTAATCTCTTCCCATAACCACCCAACAGAGCCTATGTCTCTTCCCCTGCTTCCCCCAAATTCCTGTTATCAACATTACTCACCCTTTATTTCCTTTCCCCTTTTTCTTCTTCCAAGTGAAATTGGTCCTATTTGCACCAGACATGGGACAGGTACCTCATCCCTTCCATTTGTGAGCTCCTACCCCTCATTTCTTCTCCTTCAGGCTAGGCATTCCTATTTCCTTCCTCTGTACTCTAGGCCCAGGGGTCCCCCAAAGAGGGTGCCTCAGGTGAAGACAGCCCTCCCTAATTTTTTGTAAGCCTGACATTTCACTCACTGTCACATACCCAGCTTTGTGCTAAGGTGGCAGTGCCTAGTTTCTGCATGTATCTAGCAGGGGCTTCATAATAACCCTCTTTAACAACTTTTGCCACTCTCCCCTCCTTGCAGACAAATCACTAGCCTCAGGAAGGAAGACAACAAGATCCCTGAAAATTCCATGACCTCTAATACCTTTTCCAAGCTCAGGAAACTGTTGTCCCCTACCCCACCTCACTCCAGATCCCCACTGGAGGCACTATCCTGTGCCTCAGTCTCTTTCTGCTGTGGGGAGGATGGATGTCCTACATAAAAAAGAAGGGTAACACCAGCACTTTCTTCTTTCTTTCCCCTGTGTCTTAAGTGCCAGCTCTGGGCTCTGCTGCAGATTGTGGAAAGGAGAGAAAGACTTACATATGGCATGTTACGTACATAACAGCTGCTAGGCTTTGGGGAAGGGTAGGTTTGCTGCAGTGGTTATTAGTGGTTATACCATCTAGTAAATGGTATTGAGTAAGACATGAAACTGCTGGGCCTCCGCCTCCTCATCTGTAAAGTGGAAATAATAGTCTCTCAGAAGTGACATAGACATAACATCTGGAGGAAACTCAACTAGATTCATCTGAAGCTAGGAGGTCAGGTTAGATGCAGGTTGCCAGTGGAAAGCCCTTCCATTACAGCTTGACTTCCCCACTCAGACCAGTGCTTATCAGAGATGACTACCTCTTACCCCAGCTATGCCTTCTCTTCATCTTTTGAGGAAGGCCCAGATGTCTTGCCCCATAGAGGTCAGGTACCTTGGTGAGTATGTGGGTGGCTTATGGGTGGATACAGGCAGATCCCAGAGACCTAGACCAGGCCCAGACAGAGGGTGATGGAAGCTGGAGGATACAGAGGGGTGGGTTTCCCAACTCCCAACTCATATCCTGTTTATTCCAGGGCTTTGGAGACAGGCCTGAAGCTCATCCCTGAGATGAAGCCCAAAATACCGTGTCCCTGGGGGCGGGACAGGGGAGGGCATCTGTGTTCCCTGTGACTGCCAGCTCCAAAGAACTGTGGGTCCACCCAGCCAATGGCACCCTTGCCAGGAAGCCCTAAATTTAGGTCTTCCTACCATGGAGGAGCTGTTTCCCTCCACAGCATAATTACAGTAATTATGTGCATTCAGATTACATGGTAATAAAATTAGGATCAAATCAGTCCAAATTGAAATCAGATGAGTTAGGAGCAAAGTAATCAATGACAACATAAATAGAAAAGCCCAAAAGGAAGCTCAAACATGCAGACTTATCATCAGAATGGGGAGAAAGGTGAGCTGTTTAAGCAGACAAGAGCAGGTTGAGTGTCAGGCTAGATAGAGCTAGGGTTTAAATTGGTCATAGGCAGAAGGAGACCTTGCATGTGGGTAGGGGTGGACTACTGGCAGCTGGCCTGGTCTGGAGGCTCCCCCAAGTTCCTCCTGAAGCTTCATTTATACTTTGGATTATACTGAGGTATGAGCCTCCGTGCTTCCAGTGGGCAGGATTGGCTTGGTGTTCATTTGATGAGTTGGTAGGTAGACCCTCCCTGCTCTTGAGAGCAATCTCTGTAATGAATTTTTGTCTAGTGTGGTCCTGTGTTGTCCACTGGATGAGGATCCTCTTTATTTACCCTGTCATGCACTTTGGTCCCTTCTCCTTGCAGAGAAAGTTTGCACACAGTAGGTGTTAACTCATAACCTGTATTAGGTCACAGGCCCTAGCTAACCTGGGTAGGACCAGGTCTGCATTTGGCACAGTGGTTTTCCTTGCTCTCTGTGGCTAGTTCTTGGCTCACAGATGGGCATGAGACTGAGAGGTGACTGTGGAGTGGCCACATGCAGCCTGCTCTCTAGGGAGGCCAGGAGAGGCACAATTTAGCCTCTCACCGTCTGTCCCCAAGGCTGTAGCAGGAAAGGTGGTCTGATGACAGACGGGAACAATGGTGTATAAGGCAAGGCAAGAATCCTGAAGGGCAGATTCTGTCTCTTGGCTTTTGTACCTCTCTCTGGCTCATGTTAGCCACCAGTAAGCCCATACATTGCCTAGTCAATTCCTGTGAGCAGGGGACAGAAATCTGGGGGTGGACCATTTTCCCTGGCTTATAGGACGGGAGGCTGAAACTGAGACATTTCAAAAACAAGTTGTGCTGGGCAGAACCAGCCTGGGTGGCTGTGTGCCCTGAGATGGAGCACCTGTTGTCCCTGTATCCCAGGCCAGCAAGGGAACCCCCAAGCAAGGTTGCCCCCTGATGGGGGTCGGTAGAGGGACTTGGATGGTCACATGCTGGCTGTCGGCTGGGAAGCTTTGCAGCAGTAGCTGGAGCAGGTCTGGGGTGGGGCAAGGAAGAGTATGGCTCCCCAGAGCTCAGCCAGAGGCTCCTGGATGGGGTAGGATTTCCCAGGCTTTGAGCCTGGACAGTAGTCCTTAAAACCAAGAGGCCTGCATGGCAGCCTGCTGTATTGGCTTGGTCTGCAACCTGCTGGGGCCTCCTTTTTAGAGCAGGAGGAAAAGGAGATGTAGGTAATTTTTAATATCTCTCCAGCTACATTTTATGTACCAAGTTGGAAGCTTTGTAGGAAGCTTGGAGGACAGGGCGTGCATGTGTGCTGTGTGTCACAGACAGCAGAGGAGGTTGTGAAATGGAACACCGGTGTAGGCACCTTCAGAAAGGGCGTACATCCCCTGGGGCAGCAAGGGTGTGAGAAGGCTTAGGCTATAGAGAGAACCTAGAGGTCTGATCCCTGCCTGCCTCCTTACTAGCTATGTGATTGAGAAACTAACTCATTCTGAGCTTCAGTTTTCTCATCTAGAATCTTGATGTCACAACCAGTGTGATAGGGTGGCTGTGAACTCAACAGAGAAAGTGGGGAACATCCCTGGTTGGCACAGTGCAAGTGCCTGGTAAATGGTCACTGCTGCTGTTACAATCCCTTCAAACTGGTGGGTGCTCAGAAAAGATGTGGCCTACGAATTGGTGGTTTATACCTTAATCCCAGCTACTAAGGAGGCTTAGACCTGGAGGAGCTCATTTCAAAAAGTCCTCAAGATTCCATCACAGAGAGAGAGAGAGAGAGAGAGAATCCATCTCTAATTAACCAGCAAAATGCTTAACTGGACACATGGCTTAAATGATAAGAGTATCAGGTATGAGTAAAAATGCTGAGAGAGAATCCTCTAAGATCAAGCCTCAGGACTAAACCCTCCTCCCCCCAGAAAAGAGGGAGAGGAGAGGTGTGCCTTTACAATATTACTTTTTTTTTTTTTTTTTTAATTCGGGAGTGGCAGAGCCAGGAAGATAGAAGCCTTTATGAGGCAGGGGCAAAAATTAATTAATTTTTAAAATGCCAGCTCTCCTGCCACAGCCTTGCAGAAATGAGAGAGTGCCTTCTCCTCTTTCCCAGGAAGGAAAAAAGTAAATTTCCCAAAACAATAGGTTCCGAGCCCTGTGGGAAAGAACTAAGGAAAAAACAGGTCTCTTTAAACAGAATCCTGTAGGCTCAGAAAGGACGTTTCTCTTATGCCCAGACAGAGAGAAAAGTGTAGAGAATTTGAGGGTGAAACTTCTTTGGCTGCCCTTGGGGATAGAAGGCAGCTTGAGCACCAACTTGAAGCGCCAGCAACAAGGCTGCTCATGTAGGGACCAAATTAGGAAAGCTACAGACAGGGGAACTGAAGGAAGTCGCAGGGAAGTTTTCCTTATATAAAGCAAAACCAAACAATCAAAATGTCCTACGCATCCTGAGAAAGATTAAAACAAAACAAAACAAAACAGAGGCTTGCCATGAATCTCAAAGTCTCGGAGCCAGTAGACCTGAGATTAAATACAGTTCTACCACCTCCTAGCTGACTGACTCTGGGTGAGCCATGGAAGTTCCCTGTGCGTTAGAATCTCCAGTGGTGAAAAGTCTGTTTCATTAGGTAGCTGTGGTGCTGCAACATACCAAGTCAGCCTCAGTCTGTCTGGATTCACAGGAAAGCAGGGAGGACCCTCCTGGGTTTTCATGGGGCAGTCACATGACTGCTCTGGGGAAAGGAGCATGTTATGACAAGAACCCTGGAAATCCTTACCTAGAGTATTTTGGAATAAGAAAGGGACCCGGTGTTATAACCTGAGCTGGTCACAGAAGCAGCTGGTTACCACCAGCTAACCTGAAGCCACAGAAGGAAATGTTTGTGGTCTGGAAAAGGGTACCTCTAAGGTACCAGGCAGGGGAAGGAAGATGGCGGTGATAGCTGGTAAAAGTGAAGGGACTGGACAGCCCCTTCTGGGGCTGGCTGGATCATCAGAGACTCAGATCACAGCTCTCTAGTACGTTGTGGAAAAGAATACTTAAAGAAAATTTTAAATAGTCCATAAGAGAATAGGCTATGCGGGGAATATAGTTCAGTGTGTTACCTGTGGGAAGGGTGAGTTTGTGACAGCCAGTGGGTCAGGTGGCTACTTGTCCATGTGTCCTGAACATGGGTGGGGTCAGAGAGCTGGAATACCCAGCAGACAAGACTGACCAGGGCTGTGGGATCATCAGCTTATCCTACAGTCTGTTTTTCTGTGACTAGGAGCCGTCCAAGAGATAAAAAGCATACAATAGTACCCCCACCCCCCATTCTAGAGGACCTTTAATGCTACTTTGTAACTTGTAAGTGAGATTGGTTTTGTGTGTGTGTGTGTGTGTATATATATATTATAGACAGACTACATATATATAATGTTAACATGACATGTATATAACATGTGTACATATTTGACATTAGGCAAATAACACTTGGAGCATTCTCCATGTCTTACCACTTTGTCCTTCCAGCAATCCTATGAGGGAGACACTGTTGTCCTCATTTTACAGAAGAGGGAACTGAGGCACAGCAACTTGAGTTGCTTGAGGTTACTCAGTTAGGGAATGATCATGTCAGGACTTGAGCCCTGGCAGTGTGGCCCAGAGCTTTGTTCTAATCAATATATCACCAAGCTGCATTTGCCTGTCTGCAGAGAGCTGGTTTGTAAGGAAGGTACTGGTTATGGAGTTGTTGGGATTCTAACACTTCAGAGACAAGATGGCAGAGCCAGATTCCTAGGGCTTTCAGATTCCCATACTTGATTAGAGGCTAGGAATTGTGTATTATGAAGTGTTTTTTTTTTTCTTTTTACTTTAACTTCTGTTTTTCCTGTGACAGCATTCTCCCTATTTGCTAGCTAGTTAGAACACTCACGTTACTAATACTTCGTGCTATTGTGCTGTATATTGTCATACTTGATAGGATTAGTATAATATTTTTCCTTATTATCACTGCAATGACTCCACATGCAGAAAGCCTGCTTTGTGAGTGGTACTCAAAATAGTAGCCAGGTACAGGTGGCTCATCCTGTAATCCTAGATACTCAGGAGACAGAGCTGGAGCATCTTTGTTTGAGATCAATTTGGACAGAAAAGTCCAAGGGACTCCATCTCCAAAATAATTAGCAAAATGGCAGGCTAGAAGCATGGCTTAAGTGGTAGAGCAGCAGCCAAGCAAGTGCAAAGTACTGAGTTCAAAGCTGGTACCAGGAGGAGGAAAAAAAAAATTATAAGAAACCAAAATGGTACTGGCCATTTAAGGACATAGTGCATTCAGCCTTGTGAGTTTTTCCATCTCCCTCTCTACATGGCGGATTCTGTATTCTTCCAATGTGGTGGTGATGGTGGTGGTGGTGGTGGTGGTGGTGGTGGTGGTGGTGGTGGTGGTGTGTGTGTGTTTCTCTCACACGGCTTACTGTGGCAGTCCTCAAACTGGAGGCTCAACCCAGCTCATCTTCCCTAATGACCCCTATCTCAGGATCTCAATTGTATGCTGTCTACTCTCCCCAGTGATGGCCATGGTCATACTCCAGGACTCACAGTCCTGCCCCTTTCCAGTGCTGCTGGGGGTGGAAGGTGGCCTGAGCAGGGGTGAGGTGGGCAGAGTGGCCCTGGCCAAATCTCAGAAGCTGTCTGGCATGAATGTCACTACTCCCCTGGTTGACTGTATGAGCCTGTAGAGGAGGCATCTGTGATTAGAAGGTGTTGGTGCCTCCCACTGGGTGGGATGGAGCAAGTAGCCCTGCCTTTTCTGGAAGCTACTGCACCAGGCACATGGCCCAGTTGGGTGACAGAGAAGGGGAATTATTTGGAAGCACATGGTGGGAATGGACATAGCTGCTGCCCCCAACTGTAATGTTTCCTGCCACCTCAACAGGCCTAACAATTCTGTGTACCCCAGTGTCCATGAGGCCTGCCTTCTGTGCCCTCTGTGTCCTGTGTTGTGTGTGATGATGTGTGTTATGACGATGTGGTGCATGACCCTTGCCAGTTGGTCCTTTTCCAACTGGAACAGCACCCCACCCCCTGCTCTCAGGACAAAAACAACCCCAGGCCTTTTTCCTCTGAAAGTTCAAGCTCCCTAGCTCCCTGCTCAGGGAGAGAGCAAACTCTACACTAGCCTGAGTGGCAACCTGCCCTCTCTGCAGGGCTGGCCATGTCCAGCAAGGCACATGTTCCCAAGGCCCAGGACCTGACCCTGGCTCCCCTCTGTCTGCCCAGCACAGAGCCCTACAGAGGCCTCTGAGGAAGGAGAGGCATGAATTGACCTATCTCGGGTTCATGATCTGAACAAAGCAAGATTTGGAGAGCTGGAACTCTGGGTGAAGGGCAGCTTTTCCCTGGGAGAGGTAGCACCCCTGAGCACAAAGCCCCTTGGAGGGGTAACAATAGGTTCAGGGAATTGCTTGCTGGTAAACAGTTGATTCTTCCACTCAGTTCTTGTACGACCTAGACAGCTTCTTGGCCTCTGCTCATGCTGCTACATGAGAGGAATTGCTGTTCTTGCCAGCACTTGCTCAGCAGTGTTCAGGTACCATGTTACCCGCCATACCCAGTGACCTCTGCCTCTTTCCTGTTTGCAGCTGGAGGAGGCAGAACACTTTGCCATGATGGTGATTGGCCTTGGAGAGGAAGCTGGAGAGTTCCTTCCCAAAGGCTACCTGGCTCTGGGTCTCACCTATAGCCTGCAGGCCACTGATGGTGAGTGCTAGGACTCAGCTAGCCTCTGCTTGGGGACGACCCCAGTTCCTGAACTGCCTGTGAGGCATCTTGTCCCACCAGTGCCACTCCCCATGGATACTGTCATCTTTCTGACATAGCTACCTGTTCTTGTACATACCATACACAGACACCCCAATATGTGCATGCACGTAACCCTCAGTTCCTTTTCTACTCTTGCTTGGACAGCTGCCAATCTGATACTCCTCCTCTCGACCCAGTTGTCCTACTTGTAGGCCCAGCTCTGGCTCCGACAAGACCCAGGCTGCTATCCTGTGAAGCTCCTGGTCAGTCTCCTGCAGTGCCCAATACCTTCCCCCCCTGGCAGCTTCATTATGCTTCTCATAGGCCCATCTTTACCCTCACCACCATAGTTGTCTCTGGGATCTTCCAAATCTCCCTTCATATATGACATAGTGCTGAGTACACGGTAGGTGCTTCACAAATCCTTGTGCTTAGCTGTCCAGACCCTGTCCTTCCTGTCCAGACCCTGTATTCTGTCCTCAGCTATGCCAGCTCAGACCCACATCTTCCCCATTTATCAGATAACCACTTACTTTTGTGTTCTTGCAGCTTGAGGGGACAGAGTGATGGTCCCCATCCAGACCAAAGCAGGAACAAGATTGGGCCCTTGCCCACCAGTCCCTGGTACAGGCCATGTTGAGGGAGCCTACTTTGTTTGGCTCAGAGGCCCTGCACAACCTTACTTACCTGAAGAGAGGAGAAGCTGGTAGGGGAGCTGGGTACAGACTGGCGTTAACCATTCCCTGTCTGCTAGTGAAGAGTCGCTAGTCCCTTGGTCACAGTCTGTTTTATCAAAATGGTCTCCTGTGCCTTAAGCCTTTGTCTGAGCAGCAGTGGCTTCTGCAGCTGTCTAAGCTGGGGAGCACGGACAGCTCTGTACCTGGTCCTACCCAATCTGATATGGTAAAGGATGGACCTAGCCACAGTCATGGAAAGGCTCCTCAGGTACTCAGTGTGGCACTAAAGCTAAAAATGCCTGCCCTGCTTCATTTAAAGCTGCATGCCATTTACTGACAAAGTACTAGATTGATACAACTTGGTGGGTAAGGAAGCCTGGAATTGGTGGCCTTTTGAGGATTGGGCCTCTCAGAAGGAACATATTAGTCACAGTTTTTGGAGGCTTGGGCCTTTGAGAGGGTCACTTGGGTTTAGGTGGCAGGGAAGGCCATGGAATGTGCTGGGTGCTGAGACAGCAGTGTCAGCCGGGGCTGCTGGACCTTGAGGTTTGCATGCTGGGTCCTGGTGGGCCTTCCATCTGCAGAGCTTCTGTGTCCTGGGGGTGGGGTCAGGAGGGGACAGTAACTCTCAGTGCCCCCCTGATGATTCAGACTTTGTTCTGTCTCCTGCAGCCACCCTGAAGTCCAAGCAAGATGAGCTGCACCGCAAGGCCCTGCAGACACTAGAAAGGTGAGGAGACCTTACAGCCTGCAGAAGCCCTATCTGTCTCTGGAGGCTTGAGGTAGTATTTTCACATGCTTTGCCTCCTGCGCCCTCTGATGTGTCCACCCTCTGTGAAATGGAGGATTCTGTGGCTCCATTCTGGGTAGAGAAGCTAGGAGTCTTTGATAGGTCACATAGTTAGCAAGGGCAACCCATTGAGACAACCAACTGAGCCCCACTCTCGTCTCCCATTTCTCCCTTCCCCTGTCCCACAGATCTTGCAGAGATTTCCTGGGAGCCTGAGGTGAGAGGGAAGGAAGTAGGAAGGGAAGGAGGCAGGCAACAAAGCCCTTCCCTCTCCTCCCTCCTCTATCTGCCTCATATCAGTTATTCTAAGCTCCCTCCATGTTGGAGCATGTGGCATCCCAGCCCCATGCAGGGCAGGTCATTCCCCAACCATGAAGGAAGATTCCATGCCTGGCTAGCCCCCTGGAGCTCTAGAGAATGGGGAGCATCAATGGGGCTTTTCATTGTCAAGGCTTCTTGCCCAGTCCCTGAGCCCCTCGGGGAGGTGTTAACCTCTGACTTTGACAAATGCTCAGAATGGCCTGGATGTACCCGCTGCCATTCCCCACTTCCAATTATAGGAGGGATCTGCCACCTCCAGGGTGTCTACCTAGAAGGCCTCTAATCTCAGCTAGTGCCATCCTTCCAGAACCTCTGTCCCCTGCTGTGGGTTGCCTTTGGGCCCTCTGTCTGAGTTGTCATATCTCAAGTGGACACCCCACTACATCAGAGTCTGGCAACGCCTCCCCCCCCCCTCCCCCAAACCTAATGCCCTTGTAGCACCTGGCACAGTGCTGGCAGGCTGCAGATCTAAGTCACACACTTGATACTCAATCATTGGTGACTGACTTGACTGTCTCTTCCTATGCAGAGCCCAGGAACTGGCTCCTGATGATCCCCAGATCATCCTGTATGTCTCTCTGCAGTTGGCTCTTGTCCGACAGGTTAGTTGTCACACTTCTTGATGGCCAGATCCAGAGGCCCTGCTGTCATTCCCAATACTGTCTGCACTTTTCTCCCTTCCTCTCACATCACTCCCTTCCCGTGACTCACTCACTCCTCCACTACCTCCATGCTGCACCCACACTGCTGGATTCCAGGCCCTGGCCCAGGCATTGGTTTCCTGTGTGTTTCTCTCCAGGAGCTTCACTCTGCCCCCAGAAATCTAGATGGAAAGATACCTGAGATAACTTACTTTATATTTAGCCATCTGTAAAAGAACCTGGTGCTTTTCTTGCCAATCAAATTAATGATAAACTATCGGTGATTCATTTTTTCATCTCTATAAGTATTTACTCATCTCTGCCGATTGGCGCCCTTCCTCCTAGCAAGATAGCTGGCTGGGCCATGGGAGACCTCATGCTTCCTTGGGGATCCTAGGTCTTGGCAACCTTGAAGTTGAGGGACCCTGTGTGGATTCTAGGCAGGCACTCCAACATTTGAGCCATTCCTCCATGAACCTGTTTTTGAAGAGTCTTGCTTCTTAGCAAAGCTCAAAGACTATATCTCAGGCTCACCAACCAGCCAGACCATAGCTGGCTGCATCAAAGCAGTGAGGGTTAGCCCAGGATAATGGCATCTATTCTGGCAGAATCACAGAACAAAGGCAGCCTTTGAATACAGACAAGCCAAGCTTTTAACCACATTGATCTTAGCTTCCTTCTCCTATTTTCCTTGGCTTAGACACAGTGAGTTTCCCTATGTGATAACTCTGGGCTTGACCCTGGTGTTCATGGCCTACACAGAGGCCTGGTGAGACCTGGCCAGTACAAGAGGCCTGGCGGAGTAAGGGCTAGAGGATCCTCCTCAGGTCACCCAAGAAGCCGATATCCAAGACTTTTTAAGGAGCAAGACTTCAAAAAAAGGTTCCTGGAGGGATAGATGGCTGGCTGAAGTGGTAGAATTCCTGCCTAGCAAGCAAGAGGCCTCTAGTTCAAACACTAGGATATACCTCAGTGGTACAGCACATTAGTTTAGCATATGAGAGGCCCTGGAGTTCAATCTCTAGCACAGAAAAAGGAAAGACTTAATGAGATCCCAGGAAGGACAGAGCTGCAACCCATGCACAGTTGCTGAAATAAATATAGACCTCCCAGGCTGAGGGAAGATGTACCCCAGGTCAAGGAGGAAGAATCTTGCCATTTTCTTGGCTGTGGATCTTGGGGACTAGGAGGAGGACACTCCCACTGTGTCTGTTGGTGCCTCTGCATTGCCCAACATTTCCTGTTCAGTGCCTCATCCTCAGCACTCTAACAGGACCATTTCCTCCTATGGTAGAGCACTGCAGCTCAAGAGGAGTGCTTTCTATGGCCTAGGTGCCAGCCAGCCAGGGGCAGAGCTAGCATGCTTGCCTCCCCTCCTTCCATCAAGCTACTCCTACTTGGATCACCCCTCCCCTTCCCTCCTCTTCTCTTCCCCTCCTTCCCCTCCCTCCATATCTCCGTACCTCCCTCCCTCCCTCCCTCCCTCCCTTCCCTCCTTCCCTCCTTCCTTCCTTCTTTGTTGGTGGTGGTCATGGAGCTTGAACTCAGAGCTTGGGCACAGTCCCTAAGCTTTTTCACTCAAGGCTAGTGCTCTACCACTTGAGCTACAATTCCAATTTTCTGGTGGTTAATTGGGGATAAAAGTCTCATGGACTGGGCTGGGAAGGTAGCTCAGTGGTAGAGCTTGCCTCGCATGCCTGAAGCCCTGGGTTCGACTCCTCAGCACCACATAAGCAAAAAGAAAAAAGCCGGAAGTAGCGCTGGGTTCAAGTGGTAGAGTGCTAGCCTTGAGCTGAAGAGCTGAGGGACAGCGCCCAGGCCCAGAGTTCAGGCCCCACGACCAGACCCAAAAAAAAAAGTCTCATGGACTTTTCTGCCCAGGCTGACTCTGAACTGTGGTCCTCAGATCTCAGCTTCTTGCATAGCTAGGATTACCCATGTCAGCCACCAGCACCTAGTTGAAGCACTCCTTTACATCATCTCCCCCACCCTCTCTGTGACTGTGCTGCTCCCTATTAGTGGAGCTCCAGGAAACGGCTTCCACTCATGGCCAGGTTACCTCTCCCTTAGGCTTCCATCCTCCCATTAGGAGATGCTGCCGCCCAATGTCTTTCCAGCTTCTTTTATGCTGCACTAGAAACCTACTCTCCCCTAGTTCCCATGGAGGTCCATCTTTGCAGGTTGTCTGGAGGATGTGTTTTATCAAAGCACATTCCTGCCTTCCAGTGCCCAGGGCTCGCTTGAGTTGAGTACCTCACACAACCCAGGGGAAGGTCCCTAAGCTGACACTTTCCTTTGGCAGATCTCCAGCGCCATAGAGCAGCTGCAAGAAGCTCTAACAGTGTGCAGGGACGATGCCAATGCCCTCCATCTGCTGGCACTGCTCTTTTCTGCCCAGAAGCACTACCAGCATGCCCTGGATGTCATCAACATGGCCATCACTGAGTACCCCGAGAACTTCAAGTAAGTTACCCAGGGACCACTGATAGGGGGCTGGCTTGAATATTCCACCTCCACATAAATATATATACACATTTAGCCAGCTGACACATATGGAATAAATGTGTACTTTGTGGATATTCCTTGGGTGGAGAGACAAGAGGTATGGGTCCCAGAGGACTTAGTGTTCTGTATGAGAGGTGTTGGATAGTGAACTTACGCTGCTCCTAAGCCTCTACAGGTAGCTGAGGGTGCCCAGAAGGGAATGTGCTAGAATGCACGTGTACTGTGTTGTGTATCCATCTAGTTCTGTGTGAGCCTCCTATGGGCACCAAGGCATAACTTCACCATGACTCTGAATGATGCAGATAACACTTACTGGGTGGACAGAGGTCAGGGGGGGCTTTCCAAGCAGGCCAGCTGCCTCCTCTTTGCTGGAGATGGGAGATAGTTATCTCTGCTTCTTCATGTTTACTACGCAGCAAGATAACCTGCTTCTTGGAACAGGGTTCAAATTACACCTGGCCCAGGCAGCAGTGGGTGGGGCAGGACTAGGCCTCCTCCCTTTCACCACAAAGGACCTGCCACCATTGAACTAGACACTGGGGAATAAGAGCGCGCAGGGCCAGCTGAGGCTGGGAGGTGATGTTACTCTGTGGGAAGGAACTAGTGGGAGGTCATCTTTTGATTTCTGCCCTTTTCTCCATACAAACAAGTGACACTGGGCATACCAGGCATTGATACTCTGAACCCCAGAATCTTGAATGAGAGACCCTTGAGAACCCCAACTCACCTTGTTCCACTTTGGAGTCTGAGAGAAAGCTGTTACTTTGCAGAAAGCCAAGAAGAGCTGAGGTCCTAGTTACCCCAGGAAAGGTGGCCAACTGGTTTGAGTGAGCAGGTTCACAGAGATTCAGGGAATGTCACTGGGTGTCACTGTGGTAGTAGGTGGTAAAGGGAAGTTGCAGGTATCCCAGCCCAGGGAGGCTCCCCTTCTGGAGACACCTGGACTTTGACCTCTGGCTGTCCCTAGACCATTAGAGACAGGGCTGACCGCAGGGCAGGGCTCAGGTTTTCCTGTACCCTGAGCCTCCTTCAGAGGACACTGCAAACAGTTGGTTCTGTTTGTGGTTTTGCTAGGACACTAGTAATAAATAGCTAAAGAAAGGTACTTAGGGTACAGGACTTCTGAGCCTCACCCTGTTTTACCCTCATCTAAGCTTCCCCTGGCCTAAGTGCTCAGAATCCTCACACTGCATGTTTCTCTGCCCTCTTTCCAGGCACATGTTAGCTGACCACAGCAGACTGTGGCCACTACAGTAGGTCATCCTTGTATTTGATGAATGGCCCTGATTCTGAGCCCAGCCTTTAGGAGGCCATTGAATTACCTCACTTTATAAGACACTTGAGAATTCTAAAGCACAAGTAAAGCAGGATGGACAAGAGATACACCTTGGCGCAGGGATCCCAGGTATAATAACAGCATTACAAGGTTATCAAAACTTTTAGCCGGGCACCGGTGGCTCACGCCTGTAATTCTAGCTACTCAGGAGGCTGAGATCTGAGGATCATGGTTCAAAGCCAGCCTGGGCAGCAAAGTCCATGAGACTCTTATCTCCAATAAACCACTAGAAAACCGGAAGTGATGCTGTGGCTCAAGTGGTAGAGCGCTTGCCTTGAGCTGAAGAGCGCAGGGACAGCGCCCAGGCTCAGAGTTCAAGCCCCATGACAAAATAACCAACAACAACAAAAAGGTTATCAAATATTTTAATTTTTTATTTATAATGAAAATGCACAGAAGACAGGTTTCTCAGTACTGGTACCTTGCTTATTAACAAACTCCATCTTCATACTTGTCAGGACCTGACCTGACTCACTTCTGCTGACTTGTGTGTGCATGTGTACCTGTCTATGCCAGAGTATGCATGGGTGCCAATGTATACACATGTCTGTGTGCATGTTCTATGTGTTGTACATACCTGTGTGTAACTCTGCATGTACATGTGTTTACTGTGGCCAGCTAGGCCTCAGAAACAGAAAGGAAGTCTGAGAACCTTAAGATGGGTAGGAAGAGGTTCCTCACCAACCCTGAGACTGAGTGTATATCACTGAAGAAATAAGACACTAGGTGAGGCCGGTGTCAGATATTTTAGCAGCAAGTCTTTTTCCAAATAAGCTCTGACTTGGAAACCAAGATCATGCAGCAGATGAGAGCGGAGTTATGACAGAAACAAAGGTATTGGTACTCTGCCTGGTTGACCCTACCTTGTAACAATTAAAGAGACCTTTCTATTCCAGTGCCTGGATTTTGCTGCTCAATGCCTCTTCTTAACTCCTCCTCCTCCTCCTTCTTTTCTTCCTTTTTGCCAGTCCTGGGGCTTGAACTCTGGCCCTGGGCACTGTCCATGAGCTTCTTTTGCTCAAGGATAGCACTCTACCACTTGAGCCCACAGCACCACTTCTAGCTTTTTCTGTGTGTGGTACTGAGGAATTGAACCCATGGCTTCATGCATATGAGGCAAGCACTCTACCACTGAGCCTCATTACCAGTCCGAGACAACTAGACTTGAGGCCCACCTGTGTGGCCAATGGTCAGGGATTCACCAAGATCCCATTAACCTATCACCAACCCTGCCACAGTCCCAGCCCTCTTCTTAACTTCTGAGCTGAATCTTCTACCACTGGCCTGCTTTTATTGGGGGAAGGAGGGAGGAGAGCGGTAACCTACTCTTGTGTTGAAAGTCTGATTGAAGATAAAGTATGTGAGATGCACTAGGAAATGACGTCTCATCTGTGGAGTGTCAAGGGAAGTCGGCTCCTCAGCTTCCCTGACCTTACAACCTTCATCTCCTCCTCTGTTTTCCAACTGTATTGCTGGCTGAACAGCATTTCCCTGCCCCTAGCCACCGTGGCACGTGTGAGCCTGGCTGTTCCATCTAAGCAGACATGCTCTGCTCCCTCCAAGGTCCTCACAGATGGTCCTGGCTTTGAGCTTAGTGCCCCACAGGAAGTCCAGGAGTAGTCATGAAGGAGGAAAATTTAAAAAAAAAAAAAAACCCATGTGTGGGAAGATGGCTTTCAGCAGGTTCTCTGAGGGCCTGTATCCCTAAAAAGGTAGGGAGCCCCAGTGTAAACCATGCTATTTGTCATCATGCAGCCTACCTGTGCCCTCTCTCCTCTGAAGCCTCCTCCAGGGTGGCCTGGAATGCAGGCCAGAGCCTTAAGGGGGCAGCCTCTGCCCTGGGAAGCACTCACCACTGTGATACCACACTGCAGCGGGGTTTCGGGAGCCCTAGGGGCTAGGGCCTCTCTCACCCTTTTGTTTTCTGTCACTAATGTTGTGCTGTAGACAACATGGAAACAAGTGTGTCCCACCAGCAATAGTGCTTCACTTTCCTCTGCCTGTACATCCAGGTGTCAGCAGTGGAGAAGCAGTGTCTTATCATGAGCCACCACGAAGCCCATCACCTCCTGGTGTGCAGGATCTCTGTTTTCATTTGAACCTAAAAGGCTATGAAACTGGAGAAAATATAGAAATTTATGACCCACAGAATTTAAAGAATAAATCTTATTTTAAGCAAAAAACAAATGTGTAGATACATATGCCTAAGTGTATCATATACACATATATAACATATACATATAGATGGGTGGAGGCTGAGGAATCCATCTTCCTGCCAGCTTGGTTGAGTGACCATAGGGCATGAACATGTCACTGCAGTTAAGTCAGTACTGTTCCCCACAGATGAAACCCTGGAGTACAGAAACCCATGGATTAGCAGGAAATGTCATTGAGTCCATTACAGGTCAGGGATCACTGGAAATGTCATTGCTCTTCGATTAACACTGTGTCCTGCTTCTCCAGCTGCTCCCTGCACTGGGAACAAGCCTCGTTTGGCTCCAGCTATTGCCAAGGCAGTTAATTAACCAACTGGTCCAGTAAATATTGCTCGAGAAAACAACACAAACCAAACTTCCTCTTTCTTAATTTCACTGTCCCCGTGAAGTGTGATGAATGAGGCCTTTTAGAAGCTTCTCCTCCTTGCTGAGGCTGACCATGGGACAGACAGACTGCCACCAGGAGGAAAGAAGCTGGCAGTTTGCAGTGCCAAAGCAGGAGATACATGGACCCCCTTCCACATGTGCTTATCCCTGTGTGAGACTTCCTACTTGAAAAGAGACATCTGCCCTGGCTCCTCTGCCTCTGCTTCTTTGAGACTCACACTGAAGAAGGTTGTTAAGCCATTAGAAAGCCATGTCTAAAGCAGCAGTGTGGAGTGGTGAAGATGTCACAGAGAGGGTCAGACTGGCACCAGGGTCCCAAGGGCCGCAGTTCTACATGTGCCAGTCCAGGGGTTGGAGGTCAGAAGTGTGGGCCAGGCTGGACCTGCGTGGAGGAGGAAGCAGTTCTAAAGAGATTGTTTTGAGTTCCTCAGCTGTACCAGAGATCACCATCCTCCCACGGGCGCCGTCTAGGTATCCAGAGCACCCAGCTTTCATGGAGTCGAGCTTTTGGAAATCCTTCAGATTCAGCGATTGGGAAGTAAAAGCAGATTTCCATGCTGTGCGATGACCTTTAGCTGGTGGAGCTCAAGTTTAAAAAGGCAGAACGTGATGAGGCAGAAACTGATGGCCCCTCGGGGACAGTGTGAACCTGGCACAGTGGGAACTGGACACCCCCGGGCAGCTTCATGAAATCCTATGGGCTTCCCACTAAGCCATGGGCACATGTGCTGGCCAGGCTGTCCCTCGTCAGCCAGCCAGGAGGCTGAAGCCTACAGCAGGCCCCAGGGGACAGCAGTTTCTCTGTATGGAATATGAGAAGGCCCTTAAGCTAGGAGATATCTTTGCTGGCCCTGGCTTACTTGGGGTGGGGGAGGCAGCTGAGAAGCCTGTCCAGGGAGGGGCAGAGATGTGGGGTCAAGAGTAACGGGCCACTGATAAGCGTCCTTCCTGAATCCATGGGTGATGTCAGGCTATGGTTTTAGGTAACAGATTCCTTGTGCTTTAGTCAGACCTTTGTG